CAATTAGTTGGCGGTGGGAGCGATGAAGTCGCGTGAGTACAATAAATGCCCAGCACTTGAGGTTTCAGTAGTTCTTCGTTCAGTTGGTAAGTTTTGAGTAGCGCCTCTCCTACAATAATACCGTGTGAGTGCGGGCGCTGTTAAGAGAGCGTGTAAAGAGTATATGAAATTTAACAAAGATGGGGGGCTCCATTATATGAGTAGGTTAGGAAGTATTTAAAAGCTTCGAAGAGGAAGAAATGGATAGGAAGTAAAAATATGCACATGAATTGCTAAAAAACAACAATTAAAATGACATAAAATGCATCAAAAAATAAATAAAGTGCTGTAAAGACAAGCTTAGAAGAACAAGTTATAAAATGTATGTATTAAGAAGTGTTTATCAAAATATACATAAACAAAGGTGATTTTTATGTTAAATACATATTCATAACTAAGCTTCGTATAAAAAATAAGAAGAAAATATTGTCACTTGAGGGTTTAAAAAATCTATTTTTTTGCTAAACTATAATTTAAGTTCTTAAGGGGTTATATAGGTTTCCTCGGGTAAAAAATTGCCTTTTTCCACATCTTTTTCCTTAAATTTTATTTTATTTATTTTAAATATTTTATTAAATTGGTTTTTTTTTTTTTTTTTTTTTTTTGAAAAAATTAATGTTTTAGTTAAAACCTTAACTTAGAACATGAACGATGGAAAGAAACTGAGAATTTGATTTTTGGCAGACACTTTTATAAAAAAATTAAGATTTCAGTGAAAATTACGCGACACTTTTTTCAAATAGTTTTAATCGAAAAAAATCCTTCGTCCAAGTCTGTAAGAATTGTATCTCAAACCTGTTTAAAAATTCATGAAGATCGGTTGAGTAGTAATCGACAAACAAATATTCCACACAAGTTCTCAAGGCTGTATCTCGGAAACTATTACTCAGAACAACTTCAAAACGTAGAACGATATTTTAGAGGTGTTGTAGAATTTAATAAGACAAAAAACTCGACAAAAACCCTTAAATTATAGTTCAATTGGTAAAATATTAAAAGTTAAGTTTTCAAGGCCATTTCATTTTACTTACCAAGCTTTTGAGTAAGTCGATTTCGGCACGAAAAACGAGTTTTGCTCCGAAGATTTGTCTATTTTTCATAATTTTGTAGCCAATTCAAACAATTATTCTAGTTATTTTTGAAGTATGTATAAATATATCCTTAAAATTTTTAAATAATGGATAAAGTAGTTTTCTTTTTTTAATTCCAAAAATCGTCTTTTATAGACTGTCCACTAGGTGTGCCCTTAGTGAGATGTAAACGAAAATTTGCAGTTTTGCATAAATGAATGTGGAGAATGTTTCAAAATCTTTGGATCCCATCAGTGATTCATGTTGAGCAAAGCGAGGACTACCGACATTTTTAGGTTGAAAAACAGTTAGTGGGTAGAATACTTATCGTTTACTTAAAAGAGGGACTTTACATTGCTAACTTGTCAATAATTCACTTCTAGGAATTCAAAAATTCCATTTCACAAATTGTTTCCTGGAATAATTATGACACATCAAATTACGTGGCTATGAGCAGAGTTTGAAGTCAAAATTTAAAGCTATGCCATTTTTTAGATTTTGTAATGAAAATTTGTTCTTGACTAATTTCGATATATATTTTAATTGTAGATCTGACACAATAATCTCAAGTATTGGATATAATTTGGGTAGGATACTTGCTCACATTAATTATAGAATGTTTTATTTTTGTAAAATCACCAAAATCACCAGTGATAAATGTTTTACTACATATTGAGATATGGATAAGGATACAGTCCTAAGCAAAAACTATAATATTACTTTTTTCGAGAAGAAACTTCTCATAAAAAAAATAAGGTAGTCATACGAGAGGCTTTTGAGAAGATTCTAGAGGATATCATGCAGCGATAAGCAACAACAATAGACACAACATCCAAAGTATTTATTTTAGGTAGGTAGGTATGTGTTCTGCCGAGACAACAACAATAAGAAGTAAAATTCTAGAAAGCCTTAATTTTGCTTCAAAATATAGATTCACAAATAATAGTAAGGCTTTTCTTTAGTATATACTATTTAATTTATTTTTATTTTTTTAGGTTATTCTGCTAAAATAATATGCACCTGCTTACATTCGAAATTTAAGTTATTTTAATTTTTTTTTTTTTTCAAAAAATTCTTCATAAAACACAGCGACTGCTTTTGCCATAATTTCTTAAAGAGGATTTCCCCCACTTTGTATGCATAAAGCGCACGGCGCACGGCACACTCAGCGACACGCCACACTACCCCAAATGGCGCTTATTAGTTATGAAAATACTTACTCAAAGTCACGTTAACTTTCGTATGAATCATCCGCAATAACCAAAGTACAAAAACAAGTGCCAGCAGAAAACCCATACAAAGAGAGCGAGCCCCACAATGCTGACACTCAAATTGAGCATAAAATCACTCAATTTTGCACAACAACAAATACGCGCATCGACTGAGCGATTGTCGGCTTAACCGCTGCGGAGTGGTGTCCCAGTACGTCACTTACTTAGACGCTATAATTAACAACTCGTTTGACCACCTATACACACACACATACATGCATTGCATATTCATATAATTGCGGCGCTCATGCGCTCTGCCGCGATAATTCAGCGATGAACACAAACAACATTTGCGCTTGGCACGGGACGTCATAGCGCCCCAACGCTCACCGCTAAATTACACTCACCCGCACGCTAGCGCACACACAACACGAGCGAGCAAGCAAGCAAGCAGCAGGCAGGCCGGCCGACAGCCAGACAGACACACGTTCCGTACCGTTGTTGGCCGATCGTATATTTTGGTCGTGTGGCGGCTGACTGCGCTTGCCGTAGCACCTACAAACACACGCACTCATACAAATACATACCTATGACTATGTATGTGGTATATGTCGTGCGGTCGTGCCTCACCTCTGATCTCTGCACCTCGGCGCGCTGCCGCCTCGCTAGCTTACCTGTGTGCGTTCAGGCTACCGCATAGCAAATTTCAACGATGCTCCCGTGGTCGTCGCCGTCGTTGCCTACATCTCCGCTACTCTTCGCTGCCTTAACCGCACACAACCCTGTGCAACAGCACCGTGATTTAGCCAAACGAACCTGTCGATCAAGCGTCAGTTGTGCACTGTGGTCCAAACGCGATACAACAACTATAAACATTTGCACTAGCAACACCAACACCATCAAAAAAAAAAAACATACTCATATAGTCAACGCCAGCAGCGCAATTTGCCAACGCAGTCGTTATAATCAGCTCCTAAAAATTCCGTAACTCACACACACATACACACGAACAGCACATATAGAACCCAACCGCGCAGCGCAAAATACCCAGCAACCGAATCAAGGCGCGCGCAGGCAGCAACCAAGCAAACAAACAAACAAGCAACAACAACAAGCCACTACCAGTAGTAGCAATCGAGTCTGGGCCGACCAGTGACGAGTCTTTTAATCGCACTGCGACTAGAACATTGAATTCATTCGCTGAACGAACGTCGTGGTGAACGCAAGAGACTCGGTCACAAGCGGAACTCGCAAGCTAACGGTTGACGTCTGACAAAAGCAAAGCAGATATTTACGTTAAGTGAACGGAAGCAGATATTCAATCCAAAAAAAAAAAAAGTCAAGCGAAATTTGTTGCGTTAAATGAAAGTGAATTTTTATTGAAAACTAATTGATTATTAACACTTGTGGATTTTATTTATAAAAGAAGAAACAAATAAATAAATTGTGAAAATATTAAAAATTTTATATAAAAAGTGAGAAAAAGAACTGAAAGTGAAATTGGCAAAAAACAAAAATTTTGACTTGGAAGCCAAAAATAAACGCAAAATAATTGTAATAATTGCAAAGGCGTGCTTAAAAAGCAACAACAAATTGTGATAACCAATAAAGTAATTTGTGATTTGTTTACAACTCAACGCTATTGAAATATGGTAACAGGAATAACTGGTCCAAATATGACAACCAACGTTATTGGAGCGCCGGTGGCAGCGCTAAAAGATTCGCCCGCAGTTAAAAGCGATCGTCGGGTAAGTTTCAAAGCAACAAGAAAAAATACAACACACAAATAAATAAATAGTAAAAATTTTTACAAAAACTCAAAAATTAAGTAAACCTGTGCCGCGCGTGTCCACACTTCGTACAACAAGTATTACACCCACCTGCCGCACAGCGCCCATTTGTGGACGACTGTGGTCAGCGTCGTTGGCTTTTGTCGCCATTTCGGGCAAACGATGCGACGGCACGCAACATTTGCCCCACTCACGCATTGCTGCGCGCTGCCATGCACACATAGCAGCATTTAGCTAGAATTAGACCCACACAAATGCTGGTTTGCCCCAAATCCAAATCCGGCGCGTGCGGCCCACAAGCAAAGCGGCACCACCAACCCAGGCAACGCTCCGTATTTGTGCCTATTTTCATTTTGCATTTATTTTTTTCTTATTGTTATAGGAGTTTTTACGTTTTCATTCACAATATCGTCAGTGTCGGTGTTATTGTTGTAGCGCGCATTTTACGCGCGACGTTAGTTGGCGTAAGTGGTGCCTAATTTTGGGAAAGTCAACTTCTGTCAACCGCCTGCGCTACCGCCACTTACGGCAAAGTCCAATGTGCCAAGCGCTGGTTGTGTTGTGTGCCCCAAAAACGTTCGCTGGCAGTGGCGGACGCCAACTACGTACGGTTCGTTTCCTACGCGTCTGTGACACCAGCAAACAGCTGGGCGGCTATTCATTCATATTCCATGAATGGCTGCAACGTAATTGGAACGATTTTTTTGATGACTTCACTAGCGTGTTTGTTGACTGTCGTGTGACGCCTTCCACTCATTGCAAGCATTATTCATGTGTCTGCTTTTGGACATTGTTTGTTTTGGAAGATTGCTTTATGGGTGTGTGAGTGTGGATAATACGATTTTGACAGTAAAGCGCACGTAATATAAAAATTCAAAAAAATTAAACTAGTGTTGTAAAACTTCATAAGAAAATTCATCATTAGATAATTATAAAAGCGCTGCGCGTATATCGCCTTTCTCGAACGACCTTGCGCGCCGCGCTGATTCTTCTGTTGCAGAGCGCTTTTAAAATTCCACCCAGCGCGTTGATTTTTCTGCGGTCGTAAGCGCTGCTTTATAGGCCTATGGCTGCCGTCAGCAAAAGTATTTTCACATAACCGCACATTCATAAATACCGTAATAAAGTCTGTCTGTGTGTGCGCGCGCGTATTTTTAACTAATGCGCTGCTATTTTTGGCTATTTCTCAAATTGGTCAGTCAGACTTTTATTTTTTTTGCCCAAGTGTGTACACAAGTCACATAACAACACAAAATTTGCGCGACGGGCTTTCATTAACCGACTACAAATTTCACTACACCTTATTGTTGTTTGCGCACTTTTTTGGCGGCACTTAAAGGCATTTAACGCCATTGTCGCAGTCGCCAGACGTGGTCGGCGCACGGTGCTGCTGTAACGTTTAGCGGATGGTGTTGGTGTTGGCACACGGCGGCGACGCGCAAATTCGCAAGGCATTTCATTTCGGACGCGCAGGCGTTTTATTTATAGTTGCCAACACATTCACCACACTGAAAATAACGCACGCGATTGTCGCCGCCACGCCACCTTGCCAACGCGCCACCGCGCTTGTTGGCCGAGTGCCATAATTGCGGCCACGCTATGTGTCCAATTAAAGCGCGTACCATGCAAGGCGTGCGCGAACATGCGCCACACTGCCAATGGCATTAATGGATGCAGCGCAGTCACATTACCGACAGCTGTACAGGCCAAACCAGGCGCGCGTGTTTGTGGAGGTGGTGCGCTGTAAAAGCGACGCAACGCTCAGTGAGGGCCATTGCACACCCGCGTTGTGTGGTACGCGTATTCCAAATGCATTACATTGTATGTGGCCGCAAAGTTAGACAGTTTTATAGGTAGACAGACAAATATATATAATTATCTCACCTCATTGTAGAAACAGTTTGCGCGCTTTAATTGGCAACTGCAAAAAATGCAACCTTTCAATTTAAGTCAAAACGACTAATGAAATTTTTTATTGTTTTTTACAGTCGAACAAGCCGATTATGGAAAAACGCCGACGCGCTCGCATTAATAATTGCCTAAACGAGCTGAAAACGTTGATTCTGGACGCCACAAAGAAAGACGTAAGTACAACTATACAGATATATGTATACATAACGCCTACCCTTAACCCACACTACCCAGACATCCGCTAATCGCAAAGCTCATGCGATTTTGGTCGGCAATCTCATTTGTAGACCATGCACCAAACGCATACTCTTTCTGCCCTCACACCACTCACCAACTGCAAACCATATTGCAAGCAAAGTAAATTAATTTCCATTTTCTTCTTTTTTCTCACTTCCTTTTCAATAGCCCGCGCGTCACTCCAAATTAGAAAAAGCCGATATTTTGGAGAAGACTGTCAAGCACTTGCAAGAGCTGCAGCGCCAACAGTCCGCCATGCAACAAGCTTCCGACCCTAAGGTTATCAACAAATTCAAGGCCGGCTTTGCCGATTGCGCCAACGAAGTGAGCCGTTTCCCCGGTCTGGATCCGGCTGTGAAGCGTCGCCTGCTGCAGCATCTCAGCAATTGCATTAACGGTGTCAAAACCGAATTGCATCAACATCAACGTCAAATGGCTAGCGCTAGCGCGCAAATGTTGCCCTCACCACCCAGCTCTCCCGAACAGGATCCGCATCATCTGCATCAACAACAACATGTTGCTGCTGCTGCCGCCGCCGCTGCCGCAGCCGCCAGCGGGCATCCCTTCCTTGTGGGCACACAACTGCAACACACCATGAATGGTTACTTCCTACCTAACGGCATGCAAGTGATACCCACCAAATTGCCAAACGGCAGCATTGCGCTGGTATTGCCACAACAACAACAACAACATCACCTACAACAACAACAACAACAAGCGGCGCAAGCGCAACAGCAGGCCGCACACCTGCAGCAACAAGCACATCAACAATTGAGCGCTGCGCAAGCTGCCGCCTTAATGTCAATGCCCAGCCGCACCGCCTCGACCAGCTCAGCTTCGTCGCACAGCTCATCCGTCTACGAGCGCACGCTTTGTTCGCCCGCCAACAGCGTCGCACATTATGCGCCACCAAGCCCCGCTAACTCATATGAGGCTATGGATTGCAAACCCTCAGTCATACAGCATGCGCCTACACTATCACAACAACAGCAGCAGCAATTAAACCAACAACCACTTTCGTTGGTCATCAAGAAGGACATCAAAGTAGAAGATGAGCAACCTTGGCGCCCGTGGTGAAATGTTCGCCCCCAACCCCCCGTTGGTGAATCACTCAAGTGACTGAAAAACGCCCCCGCGTAATAGTAGTGTGGGGCGTCTAAAATATATACCAAAGCGGCGTAGGGCCCATTAGTGGCTGGCGTAGCAGTCAGAGCGTTCGACAGCTATTGGCACTCCTCCTCGGTCAACATTCGGCGGTACATGCCAGCTGTTTATTTGCTTGGCAAATACGGACACTGGTTAAACACGCTGGCGTTGCGATGCGATGATAACCGCAACGTACACTCATTCGTAGCCATTTCGCGCACTTGCCTTTGTGTAAATGACGTTGAAACTGAAACTGAAAATATCGCGCGCTACATAGTGATCTCAATAGCAACAGCAGCAGCGCGGCGGTGGTAGGCGCTGCAGTGAGTATGACGCAAATCACAAAAGCATTGGGAACGTGTCGAACGACAGCACTTAATTGACTACCTCAGCAATACAGGGGCGTAGCGCGGTTAGCCGCACCTCAGGGGCGCTTCATTTGAATTTCACTCAGCTATCTCATTGGAGTATTACAAGTAGATATATACATATATATAGAAAGAGAGAGAGAGAGAGTAACTAATAATTGGCGAATCGTCAAACTTTGTAGTCACTAATAATTTAAAAATCATAATTTTTTAAGAGAAATCTAGTTTATATTGCTTTTCTATGTATTTTTAGTTGATATCTTCATTTCTCATTTTAAGTTTCATGCACTAATATTATAATATTTGTGTCAGCACTTGTGAACAGTTAACAGAAATGACAAAACAATGAAATCTTATAGGTCTTCCCAACTTGTAAAGTAATTTGCACTTAATGAATTTACATTATGTGCAATAAGCATATACATATATATAAATATTTGTATTTAATTATAAAATTATTAGTAAGTTATTTATGCAGTTTATAAGAAATTAAATTTTTTCAAAAAAGAATCAGGGAAAAAGTAAGACCTGAAAGAAAAAATATTAAATTAAACAAAAGATAATAAAACTGAATTTTATCACTTGAAACTAAAAAAAAAATTCTTTTATTTGGATATATCGCTACAATTAGTTTGGCATAAAAGTGAGTGCAGAGAACAACCCTAATAGTTTGGAGCAAAAGAGAGAGGAGAGCACAAAGTAACCCAATGTCAGTGAAAAAGTCGTTAAAGGCACAGTGGGCGCATTTGATGCAAATTTTTTAGAAAATTTTATGAAAAAAATGAATTTAATAATTAATAATCGAGTGAGTTTTATCGCTAACAAACAATCGATGTTCGAAGTTCACGTGTGATCTGAGATAAAGTCGCTTTAACACGATTATATCAAAAACCGCCTTTAAGCAAAACAAAAATATGAAATATAAATAGAGTAATATGAACTTTGTGGTAGACAATTACTATCAATAGTTTAATCAAATCCGATTAGATTAGGTTAGGTTAGGTTAATCTGATAGACCAATAAGTCGCGCATATAGCAGTTTGGTCCTTTGTGATAACAGATGGAATTCAGTCAGGTCCAAGAGGAGTACTCTCTCTTTAGGAAGCTTGCGCTTGACGCGAATTTTAACAAATTTTGCGGTCTTACTATTGATATCTCCTCCAGTGTATCACACTGTTTGGACCACAGATGCTTACAGTGTAGTCTTGCCAATACGGGACAAGTGCACAAGAGATGTTTCCCTGGTGCCTTGCTCTAGACATTTCCTGAAGTATTCTTGATCTGTTACTCTCATCCCGAGGGCGTCTGTCGCCACCAGACAGTTACCAGTTAATATTCCCATCATGTTCCTACAGCCTCTTCTATCGAGTGCCAATAGTGATTTTCTGTTTTTTTTTTTTTTCAGTTTGCTGTCAGATTGCTCGTTCCATCGGTTTTTGACTTTCTTTACCATGCTTATATCAAGATAGTCGTATAGACAATGCATAGGTTTCCCAATATTCATCCCGTTTTCGGATGTTAGCCGTATACCTTTCTTGGCAATCTTCTGCACTATTTCATTTACCTTGTGGCCTGGCAACCAGTAGAAGCTTACTTCTCTCAACACTTTCCAGCTGCCCTGCTTCCCAAGATACGTCTGGCCGGAATGCGATATGAGGTTACTGATTTTATTGTTGCTTGGCTATCTACGTACGTGTTGACTCTGGAATTGCCTGCAGGTGCATCATTAGAGACCAACTCCGCGGCGGCAATAGTAAACACCTCAGCTTGAAATATACTGCAGTGTTCCGATTGGATTTGAGGATTTGTATTGACTTTTTGTAGCAAATTTTAGAAAAAAGACAAAAACCAAAAATCGCTGAATAAAGTAGAACAACACTTGCATGCCGAAGATGACCTGACAAAAGTTAACGATCTTGTATTCTCAGAGCACCGTTGAAAGGTCCGCGTGATATCTCGGGTTATATGCAGAGACCAGAGGTCAATAACCCGTCGAAACAGAGAAATTCAGCTTGAGAGGTATATGGTTGCATATCACACAGACTCACATCAGCCGACGTCGCCACAGTGAAATTGGTAGAACTAAGCTAACTACTACATCCACCGAATTTTTCAGATTTGAGTCGCGCGTAGCTCTAGTCACCACCTATTCATGCTTGAAAGCTATTATAACTTGTTAATTATTAATCTTCGGTACTGAATGGTAAAAAAATAATAAAATAACGCCAAAATTGGTATTTCTACCAGATCAATATGTACGTTTATACCTCAGATAAATCATGAAGCACCAACATCCTCACACGAATTCATTGCAAAGGTTGTAGTATCCATACACATAGTTATCTAGGCATCGGGTTCATCTTACAAATCCAACCGAATTCGTATACAGAGGTTATATGATCTGAAGCTCTTTAACTCATCTTAGTTGGGCTAACCGGATTACTTTCATGATGGCTTTTTGGCTTTATCTCGAAAGTTTCAAGTTTAAAACATGGATAATTGAAGAACTTCACCAGGATCATAGGGTTATTCAGAGAAAACTTAATATGATTTCAGTTCCGTGATTTCACAATGGGCCTCTCAAAATCCTACCTTCTACCTGGAGATGTTTTCAATATAAAGTTAAACTACACCTAGAACAATTTATAATAATGCGATAATCTCCTAAATACGAATAACACTATACTATATATATTCATAGAGAAAAGTAACCGGATATTTGCGCTTGAATTCGCATTGTCTCTACCATTAACTTCGGACGTTGCAGCTGACCACGAAACCTTTATGCTCTTGAGCTTTAAACGTCAAATACCAAATTATTTTTATAAACTTAAATATTTTGCTTTTTTTTTGTATAAAAAAAAAATCTCGAAAACGCTCTAAAAAAATATAAAACAAATTGAAAAGCTCTCGAGGTCTGTGTGTCCGCATTGAAGCGTTCTTTCGAATTATATTATATATGTATGTATGTAAGTAGGTACGAGCATTGTTTGATGGTCGTCGGTCGACAGTCGGCGGTCATGGTGTGTCGCGTCGCAACGCCTAGTTTAAGCCAAGTTCATTAACTGACATTCCAAGTTGAAAGCGCAGTTTTTCGCACACGCGCCGCCGTCAAAACAAAAACAACATAGTGAAATAAAATCAAAAAATAATAATAGCAACAGCAAAGCATTAAACAAGATAATTAAATGTTAAAGCGTCGCCCGTCCGCGCGCGTCCCCGTCCGCTTAGTGGCCAAGACATTGCCAATCGCCACCGTTGTGCTGGGACTGCAATGCGCATCGCAGCCACGTCGGACGTCGGCTTGGTGTGAATGCGAGCATTTAAAATTCAAATTACACTTGAAATTATGAAATTAATTCGCATCACGTTTAGATGGGTCTTCGGCATTTTACTTGGAAAACAGCGAGTTATTAACGCGGCTTAGTAAACAAAGTGCCGACGACGCGCATATAAAGTATATTTGTATACACATATCAGTATATATATATATATAGGTATTTAAATGATTATGAGCATTATGTGTATCATTTGATAACGTACAAAAACAATGATAACACATGCATGTATGAATATTAAAATAAGGTCGTGGCAATAAGCGCATTAAACACCATAAATCGATCATAAATTTCAGGCAGAACCTAATTCAAGTGAAACGCTCGGTAATGTTAAAGATAAGATTTTAGGCAACAATATAAACTGGTTAGTATTTATCAGTAGAGTGAGAAGAGATTACAACCATAGACGGGTCTACTTAAACGCGACGGATACGGGGACTGCTAAGTCATTGCTCAAATTAGGTGAGGGATTTTTTTTACCACTATCATGACGACAAAAAAATCATTATGCGGTTTTAGTCAAAATTATGTAAAGTAAAAAAAAAATAGTTAGTTATTGTGAACGAATCTGGGATATACCTTGAGGACCTTAGTTCACTTTTCATTGGTTCTAATCCATTCTCAATTGCATTCATAACTCAGCAAGTAAAGATTTATGAAACGCAAGAAGTAAGTTGCTAAACATCATTAATCGAAAATACGATAAATTTACCTTAATCAAAAATGCTTTAAATGAGATTACAAAAATGTTGTCCCTTTGTTTTTTAAAACGAAGTTGTGAAGTTTCCAATACTCAGATAAAAACATCGCAGGTCCTATAAAGTATATAGGTATATACAGTATGTCAAGAATGACTTAACATATTACATAATTGATTTTTTTTTTTTCATTTTTTTGTTCGATTATACTTATATGGAGTATTTAAAGGGAAGTGATACAAAGAAATGGCTAGTTAAAAATGCAAAATCAAATAAAAAGACAATGTAAGCAAATATCCTTCAATAGCCCTCAACTTATGGTCAATATAACCGGCCTACTGAGCGTACTATTCTCAACACCATCAACCATCTTGAGACCCATCATTCATTATGGGGACCGAATAGACCACATCCACCACGCAATGAAGAAAGTATAACAGCCGTAGCTGAGAGTGTAGATGAGTCCGTTTAGGGTCGATTCGGCTCCTATCGCAGCAATTCGGACGACTTGGTGCATTTTACTTTGAAATCTTAAATTAAAAGCATACAAAACAGAGATTGTGCAAGAACTGAAGCTGATCGACCTTCCCAAGCGTTATCGCTTCGCTCATAGGCTCTTGAAAAGTTCCAGGCAGATCCGACGTTTTCGAGCCAAATTTTGTTGAGCGATGAGGTCCATTTCTGACTAAATGGGTGTGTAAACAAGCAAAATTGACGAGTTTGGGACATTTCATGCAGAAAAAAAACGGTTTATCGGCCAGTGTAATCATGCCGTTGAGAATTAGCACGCCAGAATAACTATCTGATCTAGGCGACATTTGGTTTAAACAAAACGGCACCACTTCCCACACGTCGCGTCAATCAAGTGATTTATTGAGAGAACACTTCGGTGAGCACATAGTTTCGCATTTTGGGCTGGTCGGTTAGCCATCGAGATCGTGTAATATCACACGGTCACACACGAATATGCATCAAAACCTGTCAGCACAAAATGTTTAGAAATGTCTTGCGTTTGCTTTTTCGGATCCTGTGAACTGTTAGGATAATGTCATATTCTGCGATGAGACCAAGATGAAGTTGTATTACAATGATGTGCCTACTAGAGTATGGCGCAAAGCATCAACTTCTCTAGAAAGACGTTAAATTTGTCACAAATTTCGTGATGATTTGGGGCTGGATGTCAAACAAAGGAGGACGAAATTTGGTTTTCACATGAAACACTATAATGTGATGTGGCTCCTTTATAGCTGCGGCAAAGTAATAGATACACCTGCACAGAGCCCGAACTTGAACCCCATCGAAAAATTTTGCAAGTCGCTAAAAAGCAACCGAAGAACATGACAGCACTTAAAACCTTCTAGAGGAGTTACATACTGTCTAAGTAATTAGAGTGATAAGCTGCGCCAATTTACATATCTTTGTCAGTCTCTCTGT